GATTCATATGGGAACGGCTCCTGTAGAAGGCAAACCTTACCGCATACATAGTTCTCATCGTGGGTTCCACCATCTCCAATGGGTGCATTCGATCGATGTCTAACCGTTTTTGCTGCTACGAAGCGAGCGAATGGATTGCTCTGAAAATTTCATGTGACCTCTCAAGTTGACATCCATTTTTCGTACCTGAGGGGGTGATTATGCTGAACGGCGTGACTGCGTAGCGTCAAATGAGGTGAATGAGTGGATCAGCACAGGCTAAACGTACGATTGCCTAGCTGGGAGTCACTGCGTACGAAAATGGAATTTGGTAGTGAATAGATAAGAGCCAAGCCAATCTGCAAAGAGCTCTCAAAGGCAGACCGCACGACAAATTTTACGCTGAAAAAGGAAACCCACTATGGAGAATTTCTCTGCCCCTGAACTAGCGAAAGGTGGCGCTTTTGCGGGCGAAGGGCTCGCTCGTAGTGACCCGGCAGGGCTTTCGTCGTCCCTTCTGACACCTCATCCTTCTGCCCATTCACCGAATTGCTATCGCAGCTGAGCTGCTAGTCCCTCGTCGTCGAATTCTAGCTACTTAAGCTAGAGACTCAGAGCAGAACAGTCACTTGATGACCAGTACCAGTGTGACTCACTCAAAGCAGGAATCAACGGCAATTAAATCGCAGACCATTTTTTTCATTCACCACTGCTCCACTTACTTTTCGTGCCATTCGTCTTTGGAAACAATATCGCATACGAGGTAAGCAAACCAGCCCTTTTGGCGTTTCTGCTGGGACCGTATGCTGAATGTTGGGGAGGGGATGGGGTCCCCGAACGGTCGACGGACTACTTCAACTCGGTCGGTACGATAGGAGAGTACTGACGCAAGTGGTGCAGCTGGTCCAGCAGCTCCGCCAGAAGGGCTGGTTTGCTTACCCCAGGACTAAGCCTTGGAGAGAGGACGGACCTGCGCTCTCTCGCAGTCCGTCCTCTCTTTAAGGCTTAGTCCTGAGGTAAGCATCAAATTGAGGCGGTTTTAAGGACCGAGTTGAAGTAGTCCGTCGAACCCCATCCCCTCCCCAACATTCAGCATACGGCCCCAGCAGAAACGCCAAAAGGGCTGGTTTGCTTACTTCATCGCATACAGCATTTCACGATGCTTTTTAAAAAGACTGAATGATGTAACTTTCTAATATGAGCAAAACCTTCTCACAAAAAATATCCTCCCACACTAGAATTACAGCATGAGGCAAAACTGGCGAACTTCATACCCCTTTACTGGAGTAAACCCAACACTATTAATAGGCAGCAGAGGTGAAAATGTAGTTTAGGGGGCACCCTATCTAATCGAAGTGGAGTTAGTATGCGCTCATATATACCAGTCAGAGATTTCGGGAAAGCCTTTCATATCTAGTCAGTATCCTTTCATTGAAGCACAGGGGCCTAATGATACTAGGTTCATCGCTTGTTGCCCTTCAATGATTGGTATGTCAGCAGATTGTGGTGGTTTTTCACTGCTCACATTAAGCACTTCACTCATATTCTGACTAGCTTCCTCCAAAAATATACTCTTTTTTTGTGGAAAAATAATTTGTCCTTGTTGAAATATTGCTGACGCGCGCTTCGACTAGGATCTAGCACTATCCTGAAATCAGTCACTATCGTCCTTGCTTAATAATTATTTCTTCAAAGGAAGTCAATAGATGGCTGGAGGGCGGTGCAGCCTGTGCGCCATATGGATTAAGAACCAAGGTTGAATCGGTGTGTTCGCCTCTTAACGCCTCACCAACGACGCTGGAAAGGAATCTTCACGGAAAAGCTCCGCCCTCATTACCACAGAAAACGATACCTTGAAAGGAATCTTTCCACGGAAAGAGTGATCATTTTGTCTTGTGTGTAGGATTAGTATTATCGAAACTAACGCTTATGTTCCGTTCTTTTTGCTATGCTTATGAGGCTAGGGTATCGCTCTTGTGTCTGTCGGTATCATGGAAGCACGAAGCATTTTCGCGGAAGAATGCTTTAGCGGACAACGTCATCAAAATCGCAACGCCCTTTAACTACCGCGATCACTGCCTGAAGTGAGAAAAAAACTGACTGTACGTCAGGCATCGGGACGAGTTTCAAACGGCCTTCCAATGCGTCGATGAGCACTGACGCGTTCATCACCAGCTCATCGTCAGTGATATCCTAAAGGCGACTGGTATTCAAAATATAGTTAAAGAATCAGTGTGTAGAGAAAAAAGTTGTGTTGTTGTTGGCGTTTATTATTATTGGCGAAGCTAAAAATAAAAGTGAAAATCTGACTCGTAGCGTCAGATCCATTCAGGGTTGAAATGCAGGTTCTTGTTATCAAATCGATCTCTAACCTTTTTATTATTTTTGACCTTGTTTTGTTTGTTAACTGCTGTTTTTGGCCGCAGTTCGCCTTGCGAATGTTTCACAAGAATGCTGGGTTGTGAACAAAACTTTCGCCCCAGGCGGGACTAGAACCCGCCACCTCTCGCTTTGCGAGCGAACATTTTATGAAAATTTTTTTATTAATAAACCCTGAATGTGGAGCGCGGAATTGGTTTCGAGCCACGGCACCTACCATACCATGAGCTAGCGAATGTGGTTTCATACATCGGCCTACAATCCCTTCGGAGCCAGCTAGTTGGCACCATAATCTCCTGGGATGATGGGAACACTGACTTATGCATAGGCTGCACTCCACGACTCTTTATAAAGACCAAATCGCTTCAATTACTTTCCGAGTTTGAGTAGACGTAGAATGCATGGCGCATCAAAAGGCCATCAACGAGAAGCTCATATATGGCATTTTGCACCTTGACTAGCCTGCACCAATATCCGGATAAGTCTTTAACATAGGTATATACGGCCTGATGGTGAGTATGAGTTCCTTGCAATTAGATAGGGAGGCCAGTGGTATGACAAATCACAAACAATTGCCAGTCAACATAAGGTTCTATCTGTCGAAGAATATCGCGCGATTGTCCAGGTAACTATAGATTGGGAGATGGGTGATTCCATCAGTGAAGGCAGGAAATGAATACGAGGGACGAAAATACGGTGACCAATCCATCTTTGGGATGCGCCACGCATTCCGTTTCGTTCAGAAACGCCGTCGCATATTTAATGCGCTTTTGCCTATACAGCGATTTGCGAAGGCGAGAAATATATGTCAATATTATTGCCCTCCCAGACAAGCCAGTTTTCAAAGCAATCGACCCCAAAGGATGGAAGGCTTGGTTGGCTCACGACCTAGGTGGGTACCGCCAGGAGAGCGTAGGGCGTAGCGCCACTTTCCACTACACCACTTCCGCCCATAACGAGCTATAGCAATTTTTATTTAATTGCAATTTTGGATCAATCAATTATTTCTGCTCTCTGATCACAGATTTGCGGACAATAGCGCTTTTCAGAGACTCACCGAGACTTCGTCGCTCCACCAGAAACGGCATGTCATTTATGAACAGTTTGTTGTCGTTACAATTGTTGCCAGCTACAACAGGCATTCCACTATGGGTGAGCCTGGCCTGCTTCACTCCAACCATAGTTGAGATCTCCGCACAAGTATCGTACATGAGCAATGTTGACTGTCCCGGTTCGTTTTGCTGAATAGAACAACAATCTTCAATTTTATTCACTCCATCTAGAGTTTCGGAAACCAAAAACCTAATGTAATTCATTCAGGACCCGAGTTTCTGGACTCCGTGATTACCCGGAGGTCGAATTTCCCACTTCTATTTCTCACTTTCCGATCTTTTTCGATGGTCTCGAGTTAATGTTCAGGGTTAACTTAAAGGCAGAGTTTGAGATTCCTGGACGAAACGCTCTAGCACGAGAAATGCAGAGTGAAACGCAAGCGCAGAGCATGTACCCACTTGACGCTGCGCTTCGAGTCTGGCGCTGAACTCAAGTATTTACTATATGCCCCGCCCACCACCAGACGCCCTGCCCATAAACCAATGCTATCGGCTTTGTCGCTACCGAAGATGGGGACTTTTTGTGCTTGTCGACGGTTTCTTCCGTTTTTTTACTCCTGACTTTACCTTCAGTCCTCACTGTCCTTTACAAGCGCGTTAACACATCAGTTCGACTCCATCCCTATAGTTTCACACTCGAACTGAGGTAGCAGAACAGATGATCGGTTCAAGTGTGGAACTGTAAGCGATGAAAGCGAAAGAAGCAAAAAGGCTGTTGAAAACCCTTAAATAACCCCATCTGAAATTCTTTTTGTGGCTTCACTTGGTTTTAATTTTGGAGAAGAAACACTGTACGCCACTTTGAGAACGGACATCAAAACGGCGAGAAAGAAAACGGGCAAGCGAGACGCAAAAATAAGCTGTCATTCGCCCGACTGAATGTGTGTAAAATCGCATTCACTGTCAGTCAGTTCCCAGTGTGGCTGGATTTGGTAAATTCGCCAAAAGCCCTCAGCCCCTTTATGGCGCCCAGGTCGAACTCGAAATTTGCACAACAGAGCGGTCTGCCTTACTCGCGAGGATTGCTCCAACCTATCGTGGAACGGGCGTTCGAGTGAGACCTGACCAGAGCCCTACCGATTGTACGGCCTATTTACGTATGCCTATGGGTTTTTTTTTATCACGAAAATGGCCAAGTACAAGCAATACTCCTCGCCTCCGTAATCACATCGTACCTCTCCGAACACTTGTGCTACTAAGTTCCCAACCGGGCACCGTTTCACCTTAAATGAAGCGGTTGCGAGTAACCCTATGGAAAAATGGCAAAGATGCACGGCGGATTGGTCGTAGGTGGCGCTTCAGGAGCAGTGGCGGCTGATGAACGTCGTGAGGTGCCAGGAAAGAGCTCATCATTTTCCGAAACCCTTACCCGCCCACCATTTCGAACATGGAAAGCGTGGCAACGGGCCGCGGGTTGACGTGCAAATGTTACGGTTCCCGCTCCTTCTTCATTTCCATCGTTCCGTTGATATCGAGCGCCTACCCTTGGCGAGCCTTAGCTCGTCCAATAATATCTCACGATCAGCTTTGTTCGTGACGCTTTCTGTTATGACGTATGGAACTCTCATACCACCTCAAAGCCAGCGCGACTTCCTTCAAAACTTTAGCAGATAAAAATTTTAATATCAACCAAAATCGGCCAAACCAGCAGCACTTAGAAAGGGTTTGGCTCACCTCATCTGACTTCGCCAACTTTTTGCCGCGACCCTTGCGCTCTGCAGACGGGTACATGATTTCATCCAGACTTATGCTCTCCTGAAATTGCTTGCAATAATGCGCCTTCAACATCATCTCTCTCCATCCTTTCTGGAAATTTCATTTCCCATTTTTTTTCTCAAAAACAGCTTACGAACTTCTTAATGAATTTCGAATATGTCTACAACACTCTTTAGCAACATTAATTTCCAGAACAAGATTTCAGTCAATTATTGTGAAAAGGGATGGTAGAAAAATTTTTTAGACAGCATGGTTTTTCTAGTATTAATGCTAATATATTTCGCCGGAATCGAACCAGCGAATATCCACGGTCAGGTGTGACGCGCAAGCCAATGGTATCCACTATTTGATAGTGAGACACCGGAGCTACTCTTTTCCATTCCTTATAAGTCTCCGAGAGCGTCCGGGTTAAGTGTTTGGTGATTACTTCCTGCAATAACGATTCGGTGATTGAAGTTGTTCAACTTCACACCAGTTCTCCCAGGAACGCTTCTCCTGTTTAGTCCGACCATTCATTTGACATTGTGGTCTGTACAATTCTAGTTCTTGGAAGAACAGTCTTTCCGTTAGGCTTTGATGGGTTTCCGTCGAGTGGTGTATCAGAGGTGGACTTATAGCAATACATGGGCTCATATGTCGCTCAAAACCAGAATTTGGCAGACGGGTTATATTCTGACCTGTAATGAAATTTAATATTTTCTCCTATGACGATTGAGACCATGGCCAATCTCTCTGTTATGAGTCCAATTAGGTAACTTTGAACATTGAAGACGGCGGAGAGCATTTCAAGGCTTTATTGAAGAGCATATATTGGTCAAGGCGCGACTATATACAGCCGACAGACACAGATTCTCATCTTCTTCAAACCTATTTCTCTTCATATGACAGCATTTGCATTTTAGAAATCGTCCGCTAATATGTAAAATAAGGAACCAGCAATTGAATACTTAGAAGCATTATCTGTTAATATGCAAATGAGGAAGCAAACACTCAGAAGCTGAAAGCATCATATGTTGTTATGCAAATATGCAACCCATCGATCGCCATTCTGTAGAAGTTACAGAAACTCCCACGGCAAATAGAAATAGTATAGAATTTAGGTATTCTTTAGGATGAGGAAGAGTTGTCGGGAACATGAAATGACACATGCGCGAGAGAAGAGCTAAGAGACATAGTACCACTGTCGCTAGCAAAAATCATCTTTCCAGGTTTTGAGACTCAGAAAAAATGACTCAACGTTTTGCAATGCGTAAGATACAAGTTGTGAAGCACTGTCAAGGATTTTTCCCAGAGGATTTGGGTTTGCGAGAGGAAGGTTCTGATCGGCAACATAGAGTCCGGGTTTGATGAGTTCGTCGTTGACGTAAGATAGCGTTCCTTTGATTGTAATATTGGTACTTCCTCCAGGGCAAGAGGCGATGCAAGAGGTAAGGATGTTTTCCTGTGTTGAAATGGAGAATCAATCGATTGAGATGTCCTCGTGTGGAGCATTTTGCTATTTGAGTCTCGTCTGGACAGATGAGCGCCGTAGTTTCGCCATCACTAGTAGTGCAGACAAGGTCGAATGTAGCTCCAGAAATGCAACTATAGCAGCCCGTGAGGTCGCTGGTTATGAAAGTGCATTTGCTCTTGTGTTGTTGAGACACCAAATTAAGATTCTCCATGACTACCTGTAGCTGGAGAGACGATCCCACATTGAGTTTGCAAGAACAGTGTCTGCGTGTTGTGTGAGAAGGAAGTTCTTCCTGGTTAAAGGGAGTGGAGAAGGTTCCATTAGTTTCTTCAAGTTTCCATCGGGGTAAATACAAGACATTTTGAGGAATCCTTTTGTGCATTTGCATGTTTCACTCGCGAAAAGGCGACGGAATTTCGAGCTCCTCGTTAAGCGAGTTTGATTATGGCGATGTTGTTTCCATCTGACATGAACGTAGAGCCGAGTATTGGTAGTTTTGGTGTGATGGTGCTGATTAGAGTAAGTCGCAAGTTGTTCCACGAGTTGACATTCCCCGGAGTAAGCTGCAATCTTTTTGACATTATATTGTTTTAGCTCAGGGTGATGTCCGCGCTTACAGAGAGTTCCCAACTGGGGCAATTAAAGACGGTGTATACGACGATGTGATAGGTTTGGCATAAACTTGGTAGAAAATGCAGCTATCCTCGCATAGCAGGCAACCGCCACAAGTCAAACATCCACAGGTGGGAGTGCAGTAGGTATATCCGGGGCTCTTGTTAGCAATGGAAGAAATTTCTTCCAGAGTATCGGTGGGTTTGACGTTGTCACAAAACTTCTGGGTACAGCTACCTGCTAGGTAACAGCGATGGTGCGATTCTGATATTAACGCATCGTCTTACTAAAAAAATTCGATCCTCTTGTGGCAATGATATTGAATATCACGTAGCGTAACGGACAGCATGCCCAAATGCTCGTTTTTGTAGTCTCTTATTTGCCAAATAGGTCTTTTGCTGCAAGGGTTGAAGTGCGATTATCGTCGCTTGATCGTAATAACTTCGTCGTGTTCTTGAAAGGGCGCTAACGTGCTCATTTGCAATTATGGAAGTTGATTGGGAACACTCGATGCTCACTTGTATTTGAAGTAGTGTCAGGAGAGTGCAGCCACAAGTCGCTTTGGTTTGTTGCGTCCGCCGTCGAATGACATATCTTCTCAAAAGTGTTTTCCGTTGCATCATGGGAAGTGATGGACGAGGTAGAGAAGCAATCGCATGAAAAGGCATGCCGTTGCTGCTATCAGCTTGAAAAGGATGTAGAGGGCAGGGATAGTAAGTAGCGCTGCCGCAGAAAGGGTGAACACTAATATCACTTGTAGAAGAGTCCAACATTGTGTATTGTAGCAGTTCCATTTACAAACAGATCATGTGCATCGATATTTCACATATGGGGTGAGCTTTGCACTTCACTTGAGCTTCATGTGCTATGACATTATTTTTCAGAGCTTCTAGTCGAACAGTATAATCGTACATAATCAGAGAATTAGGGAAGAGGATGGCTTCTGATGCAACATTTTTCAAGGCGAACACAATAATGTGATGCTAAACTACCAGCACTGACCAGTTGAGACTTTTGTGACTGTCACATCCACCTTTAGAAGACAGTGCGATTCAACGGGGCAGTAGAGCGGCGATTGGGGCTAGAATTACCTTTCGTGTAATTACGTGCCGGATATTCCGTAATTTAGACTTTAGGAATTGTTCCCAAGCTTTACAGGTGACAGGACCCTCAGTGCGGGAAGAGTTCCGATTTCGACGAAGAGTCGACTCATTGTTTGAAGTCGTCGTATGCCACTTATTTTATCGGTCTCTCAAATGAAGTCGTTTTCGTCAATATAATCTTGATCGCTTATGTCGAGTGAGGATACGAGGAGTGTTCTGTTGTCGAAGAGATGTATTTGGTTGAAAACTCCAAGTTTCTTTGTGAATCGCACTTGGGTGAGCTAGAAAAGGAGCATACTTGTAGGGGCGATACTGACGGATTCTCCTTGGCAGAGAGGTAAACGTAGAGCTGGCAGTCCTCCATCTAGCAGTGAAAGAAGATGAGGTAGACCACGTGGGGCATCGCGTTGTTCCCCGCAGAGTGTAGCCCTTAAGTGTTGATTTCCAAACCGTATCGCTCCATGGGGGCACGAGAGGGCGAACCAACAAAATTTTCCTTTACGTGAGCCGTTATAAAATGCAACAGCGACTCCTTGAGAAACGCACGAGGTGGCATAGATAACCGTTTTGTTGACATTGAATTCATTCGGAGGCATCTCGTGTTGCTGGTGGTAGCGGAGTGAGCGCATAGTAGTTGTAACATGATAAAAGGAAGGATACAGGATGTCTGAGCCCGAGCTCTGGACCTAGTTATCATCGGATGGTGCGGCAATGGTTGATGGGTTGAGAGGTTCTTCAGAATTTTCAGGGATGGATATTTCCAATTTATGGACTAAGCAGTTCGGACGTGTGATTACTTTTTTTGAAGGAAGACGGATATCGAATGACCGTTGGAATTCGTCTTGGGAGCCCACGATCTCTTCCATTCCCCATTACCCTCTTTGTAAGAAGTCATCGAGAATGAGGACAAGATCTTCAGTCTTGGGCAGTTCATGTTGGTGTGACCGTGGAGTATGATGTTCAGTTTTGAATTGTTCTCGCATCGTTGTTAGATATTCGTTGTTCCAGCGGTTCCAGAATTTTAAAGTCACTTGTGATGTGCGATTCCAGTTTTCGAGAAGGGTGTTTCGCGTGTAGAAGGGAAGGTACTCATTTGAGTGTTTCCTCCGTGGGTTGTGGTCCACACAGTCGAGCTCCTGGTCTCAGAAAAACAATAGATCGTAAGGAAAAATAGTCTAGTTCTTGTGAGTAGTGGACGACTATTTACGATGGCCTCTGCTTCTTTTGCGATTATTTTGATGTCTTCGAGATCAAGTAGCCGGTTCGCGACAGCGTGTTTGGTG